TTAGGGAGACTAACTCAGTATGGTCATTATTGGAGAAATAACAAAAGTGAAATTTCTGTTAAACATGAGAAGATATGAAAGATTTCACATAGTGAGTTCCATTATAATGGACTATGTACAATGCATCAAGGTTCAAAAGAAATTTATCCCATATATCTTAAAAGAGTAGGTTGTGCTGGATCAGTGGCATTCACAAATGCAACATTCCTGATTTTGACAGTTTCTGTGAGCCATCCAGAATGTTCAGGGAACGTAGTAACTTGCAATTTTAGTAATGTAATACACAGATTTGAATTTCAAGGGTGAGGCTGGGGTGCTTTAATAAGTCAGTAGATTGGTTAGCGGGGAGTTGAGCAATGGAAACCCGGAAGAAAGAGATGGAGAGCTTATCTACACTGTGCCGCTTTTAGCCCTGAGAGGGAGGGAGTGAGTGGGCATCTCTGCTGCTTGCCCCTCGCCCACTGTGGAAGGTGGTTAGGGTTGAGGGTTGTTGGAGGTGGAGAGGAAGCCGTGAAGCTTCAGGCTAGGCTACTGTGTCCGTGACTGAGAGTGCAAGTTAGGTGTGATCCCTGAGGAGATCTGGTGAGAGAGGACTGGCAGGTGGTAGCTCCAGGGCCCTTCTGCAGAGAGGAGGCAGGCTGTGGTGGGAGACCATCGAGAAGATGACGGAAAATTCAGCTGTGCCTAGTCCATGCACAGGAGAAATGACATGCTCCAGTGCTGTTCTGTGAGAGTTTGCTTAGGTCTCTGGATGGTTTCATTTGGAATTTCAGGAGCCTGTTGTTTTCATTAAGTGCCATTTATTAAGTGGCAATAATGAGGTCATGTGTCGAACTTAATCATCTTAGTTAAATTTTCAGTGTAAGAAAGACACATCATTAAATACTTTCAAGTTTTTTGAGTTTTTATTTCTAGTAATGTAAGTACACAATACTTGGCATCGGACAGTATAGGAATGGTAATTGGTTGATATTCAGCAAATTGAAAGTAATTCAGAAAATCTTGATGGTCCAGCAAGCATCTGAGCTTAGTGGATTTGCTGCGAGAGTTTCACAATGCATTGGTGGTTAGAGTTCATAACTTGGAGATTCTTCAAGATATGGAAAAGAAGGAAGAAAACCCAAAAAGTAAATTATCCTGGCAGTAAGCTGCTGGTAGCTTAATGTGATTCTAATAGTTATTAAATTGCTGTAGAGGCAACTGCAGAGTATCCTAAATAATTTATTGTTGGGGGAAAAAAGCAACACCTATTGGGCAGAAACCCAGAAATTTAAGAGGACATCAAAGATCCCTCTGACACTATCCCCTGCTGCTTTAATTTCAGCAACTATTCTAGCTTGGGATGATATTGTTGAAGATAAACCTGGCGATCTAAGGTAGTATCTAATTAGGCATGGCTGTAGGATGCTTAGCATTTTTGAGGAAATAGCTTAAAAACATTTTGGCCAATGCAATGTATTCAAATTTTATTAGTGAAAAAAATGTTAAGTTAGTGCCAGTCTATTAGAAATGAAAAGTCACACATTTATGAAATGGAGAGCTTGTCTACACTGTGCTGCTTTTAGCCCTGAGAGGGAGGGAGTGAGCGGGTGTCTCTGCTGCTTGCCTCTCGCCCACTGTGGAAGGTGGTTAGGGTCCAGAACTGTACAAGATTATTCAGCTGTTTAACAAATCTTTTTTTATACCCGTTGGCTGCTAGTTCCTGATTGGACTAAGGAAGAATCTGAGGGAGGTGGGCAAAGAATGCCAGAGCAGCCCGGTGTTTTCCGTGCTTGGGAAGCATCGTCATGGAAAAGGACATGAGACTAGTCTCCACAGGCTTTTGCCGAATCGGGTTTTAATGGCAATTTTTGAAAAGTTTTAAAATTTCATTTTGATGTTGATGATGATCTTTTAAAAAAGCCTATATAGGCATAATCCAGGTACTCTGTTTAGGTGAAATAGCATAAGGTGGTAGGAGCAGAAGATAATAGCAGGTTTTTTGGTTTATATCTAAGATTAATAAAGAAGTTTGCTTCACTAATATCTATTGTGTGCACTTAGAGTGGTCAATACATCTGACTTATAAGTAAGTAGATAGAGATAGGTGTATCCTCCCCACCTTTTTTTTAGTAATAGGAATGTGTGATTTTAAAAAATGTAGAACACATTTACATAAATAACTACTATATAGCTAAACTTGCAATATAATTTTAGTGCTCATTTTCTCTTTTGATTTGTGTTGAGAGAAGGCCATATGACATATGCTTTGTTTTGTCAAGTAGGTTTCGCAGGGGCTTGAAAAGAGTAAAGTGTGAATTGACTCATCACACGTGGTCGATCGGGCTTGCCAAACTGTAAGAATATCAGATTTTGTATCGACTGAAGATATATTTTGGGAATTTTGTCTTAATTTAACAAGATAATAAAGCAACTTGTTATTGTAATTTATAATAATGTAGTAGTAGGTCTTCAGTGTAGTTTTTTTTTGGTCTTTGATCCCAGTGATTGATTTGACACCCATTCAGTGCTTTAAATAACTGCTATGATGCTAACCAGGTGTTCATGTGAAAAAGACTCTTTGAGGAGTCATCAAGTGAGAGCTTATGATAACTGGCATTCAAAGAATGTTTATTGGCAAAAGCTCGCTTAAATATAAGATCTGATTGTCCTGAACAGTAAACAGAGCCTGGAGATTATGAATTGCGTGTCGTTCACCATACTTTTGTGAACAGACATTTTCTATATCTTGAGTTATGTTTATAGTATGATGTCAACAGACAGAAAAAATTTAATGTAGAACCAGACCTAAACCTCTTCTCTTAGATGTAACAGCAGTCATTTAGTTTTTGAAAAATAGCATTATCTTTCAAATGGGATTAGTGTTTTAAGAGTATTACTAGTTTGGCAATTTTGTCATTTTTTCTTGTTTCCATAGTTTTATAAGAACTTTAAGCCTAAGTAGTTCACTTACATGAATATATTTAAGCACTATTGTCTATCTAATTTAACATTTGGACCAAATGAGAATTACTTTTTTTCTTCAGAAAAGAGTTCTGAACATTTTTCAGTTTTAGAAACAGTGAATTAAAATACTGTGTTTGGACTTTTAAACCTTTGAAATCCATTCTTTTCCCCCTACTTGTTTCTCATTAATTCACATTATTAGAAATACAAAAATTTTAAATAATATGTTGATTATTTTAATCAAGGGTCTCAATACTTATACTGAAGCTCAAAATTATTTCTAGGAAAAATATTGGTTGAATTTCTGATTTCCAGCTGAAATGATTACTTCTTTATTAACCTGAAATGACTACTTTATGATTAATACTGAAATTATATAGATATTGATTAATTATTTAGTTTCATAGGGTGACATTAATCCTAAACAAAAATGTAGCCTAAAGGAATATTCATTTTTATATTGGCACTTGAAGGTCAGTTCAGTCCTGTTTAACACAAAAATATACAATTGGTAATAACAATGTACATTAATAATCTCCATAAATTATAAAAATGAGAAGATATATTTTCCATCTTAAGAGGAATGACTTTCAGAATTCTGTGAGAATGAATCAGTAACAGCTGAAGATCTGATCTTTGAAAGTGGCAGGGTTGGAATCCTTTCCGAGTAGAAATCTAGCCAATTTTTAAGAAAAATCACAATGTTTCAGTTTTGAACTTTAATGTATTTGGAACATATGCAGCAGAACATTTTCTTCTTGCTGTCTTCTGCCAAACTAATTATGTATGCCACATTGATTTTTCCCTTATGTTTAGGAAACTCAAGTGTATGGTAGAATTCAGAATTTCCTGATTCTTTTTTGCCAGTTTTAGGGGTAGAATCAAGATGAGAAGTATTTAAGAGAGATTTTAGAATTTCCTCTTAAGAAATTATATGCAAAAATGAAAACGTTTCATTCACTTGAAATTATTGAATGAGTACCTACTACGTACCAGGCACTTTTACTTAGCAGTTGCTCTGAGTGACCGTGTCAGCAGGACAGACACAGCTCCTGCCTTCAGAGAGCTTGTATTTTACTTGGGGCGGTGGTGAGAGGTGGTGGGAATTTCAGTTTCATAGATGTCCTATAGAAAAGAAAACACAACAAGATATGGAGTACCTTAGCTGAGCTTGGGATAATATGAACATGTGGCTGGAGGGAAGTTTAAGTGTCCTCAGTAGCCACTGAAGTGGAAAAGGGGTGGTGTGTTCTTGGAGCTGAAAGGCCAGAGTGGAGGGAGCCCCGTGAATGTGGGCGCAGGGGCTGAAGCTGGAGAGACCAGGGTGAACGAACCTTTAGACCACAGGAGTTTTGTTTCACTCTCAGGATAGTGGGGGTCCATGGACTGCAGGTGAATGCAGAGTGGGAGTCCTCGGAAGGGTTGGGTGGAAAAGTTTAGTGCTGTGACTTATTTAAGGGGGATGACGCTGGTGGCTGTCAGGAAAATGAACTGAAAGGGGCAAGGGCGGAGCAGGCCGGGCATCTGGGCAAGAGGGGTGGTGCTGTGTGAGGAGGCCGCAGGAGCTGGAGGAGCCAGGCGGTGGCAGGGCTGCCCTTGCGCTTCCCTTGGGCTTGTTACCTGAGCCCCTGTTTCCACATGCAAGCATCTGGGTGTGAGAGTTACATTCGCTGGGATGTCATAGTTGAGTGTGGACTCCGTAAAACCTGAGGATGGCAAGTATTTTAAGTGTTTGGGAAAGACAGTCAGCTTCTTGAGCTTCTCTTTGCTGGATGGCATAAAGTATACTTTCCTGGGAAAAAGATTAGGCTCTTACCTTCAAGTTCTGTTGGTAAGTTTATGCCAGATTGCTCCAGTTCTTCTACTTTAAAGCACATACGGCATAAGACTATTAAAAAATATTAAAGCCCCCTTTAAATATGCAGTTGAAAGTTTTGTTCCTTTTTAATGAGGGAAAGAATGAATATAATTACTGCATGGTATAAATAAAATGTGTGTGTTTAACTTTTTGCTTTCACTTAGATCGTGCATTTACTGGAGTTTTTTTTCCCTAGTCACATTGTCCTAATGCTTGCAGATGATATGGCATGCAATCCTAGAAACCCCAAACCAGCTACTGTGTTCAGCCACAAGAATATGGAACTCAATGTGTACGGAGATGACGTGGAAGTCGATTACCGCAGCTATGAGGTACATGGCGCGTCTAGCCCCAGTTCTGAAGTGTCAGTGTTACCTTTAGCAGTGGTAAAGTATATTGTCTTAATCTTTTTCTTTAAACTGAAATGTCACTGAAGCCTTGGTGTAGCTGTGTCTCTGGAGTTGATTTAAGAAACAATATGAGTAAAATATTGAAACATGAACTTTTCATGTGTGTATCCAGGATACAAAAACTTTATATGAGCTTATGTGTTACAGTATTTGAGTGGAGTTTCATGTGCCAGTTTTATTATACAGTACATGTATTTTATGATAAGTGTATGTTTTTCATATTTGATTAAAATTTCATTTTAGTATTTTTGGTAATTATACCAATTGTGGAGAAATTACAGTGACTAACAAAAAAACTCATCCTTGGATGATAACCATTTTTTTTTTTTTTTTTTTTAGTCGGAGTCTCACTCTGTTGCCCAGACTGGAGTGCAGTGGCCGCTCCCGGCCACCACAGCCTCGACCTGCTGGGCTCCGGCGATCCTTCCGCCTCAGCCTTCCAAGTAGCCGGAATTACAGGCATGCGCTACCACGCCCGGCTGATTTTTTGATTTATTGCAAAGATGAGGTCTCGCTGCCCAGGTGGGTCTCGAACCCGCGGGCTCAGGCAATCCACTCACCTCAGCCTCCCAAAGGCGCAGGATTACAGGCTGAGCCACCGAGCCTGGCTGATAACCATTTTTAACTTAGAGATAACCATTGTCAATATGCTTCTAGTGTTTTTGTGCATATATGATTAAAAATAAACGTATCAATATAAAAATGGCGTTATACTGTTTTTACCCTTTGAATTTTATTTCTTTTTTTTTTAAGAGTTAGAGTCTTGCTCTGTTGTCCAGGCTGGAGCACGGTGGTGTAATCAAAGCTCACTGTACCTTCGAATTCCTGGGCCGAAGCTATCCTCCTGCCTCAGCCTCTTTGTAGCTGGTATTACTGGCGCCTGCCACTACACCCGGCTGATTTTTCTGTTTTCCTGTAGAGACGCCTGGCCCCAGCGGTCTTCTCACCTAAGCCTCTCAATGTCCTGGCATTGTAGGTGTGAGTCACTGTGCCTGGCCTGAAGCTATTTTGTATTTCGTAGATTGTGAATATGTCTAAAATTTGAAGTCTTCCTTCATGAAGTCTTCCTAGATAATCCTTTTAACAAGCCTTTCAAGTTTCCTGTGTCTTCTTTTGAAGCCATTTTGAAAGCCTGTCTGTCTTCCCTTAGGCTGTACGCTCCTTAAAGGCCCATAGTTGATGTATCTTACACTTAGCAAGTACCTATAGCCTGTGATGGGCACTCAGAAATGTTTGTTCAATGATTTAAATGTGTGTCAGTGTTTGACCTTTTACTTCTTTGTTTAGTCATCTTAAATAGAGACCAGAAATTTCTCTTGCTTGTTGGCTAGCAAGCCGTTCTATTAAGTGGGGCATGGTAGGCATGCCTATAGTCCCAACTGCTCAGGAGGCTGAGGTGGGAGGATTGCTTGAATCTAGGAGTTCGAGGCTGCAGTGAGCTATGATTGCACCATAGTAGCACTATAACCTGGGTAACGGAGTGAGACCCCGTCTCAAAAAAAAAAAATCCTACTAAAACAATTAGCAATTTGCTGTCTTTTGGGAAAAAATGTAAGTTGAACAGTTTACACACACACAAATGCGTATAGCTACACATTTGCATGCTCATGATCTAGAGAAAACTTGAACAAAAAAGCTAGATAGATTTTCTCCTTTTTAAATTTAGATATGCATAATATATGACTTAGCTGTTAACTTTGAATTACCATCTTACTCCACAACTTTAAATATGCCTTCAAAGAATTGCAGAGGGCTAGAAGTTCCAGATTGGGAAATCCAAAGTGTTAGGAAATTTTCACATGTTAAAGATGCCCCTCTTAAGATCTGAGTAAGAAAATGCATTCAAATATTAAAGTCACATAATTTGGGGAGGTTATATATGCAACAATTTTATTTTATGTTAATCTGTATGACTAAGTAGTTGCATAGATTAGCTGCAGTAATGTAGGTGAATTTATTTGCACATTCTTATCCTCCCACAGAATTGCTCATGCAGACAGATTAGTAATTTTATTTTATGTTATTTTTATTTTGTGAGTCAAAGTCTCAGGTTGTAATGCAGTGGCACGATCACGGCTACTGCAACCTCCACCTGCTGAACTCAGGCACTCCTTCTGCCTCAGCCTCTCGAGTAGATGGGACTACAGGCGTGCATCACCCTGCCTGGCTGATTTGATTTCTTGTGGAGACGAGGTCTTGCCGTGTTGCTAGGCTAGTCTCGAACTCCCGGACAGGCAGTCCTCTTGCTCTGGCCTCCCAAAGTATTGGAATTACAGGCGTGAGCCACTGCACCTGGCCAATTTTTGTTTTTAGAAAAGTTTTTGAAGATGAGAGTCTTACTCTGTTGTCCAGCATGTGGTGCCAGTGGCCTGATCATGGCTCGCTGCAGCCTTGAACTCTTGGGCTCAAGAGATCCTCCTATTTCAGCATTGTGAGTAGCTGGGACTACTGTGCGTGCCAATACACCTGACTAATTTTTGTTTATTTCTGAATTTTTTTTAGAAATGGGGTCTTGATATGTTGTCTAAGCTGTTCTCAAATTTTTTTCCTCAAGTGAGCTTCCCACCTTGGCCTCCCAAGTAGCTGGGGTTATAGGCAGGAGCACCTTACTTGGCCAGATTAATACTTTAACTTTTAAGTAATTATAAAAGGCAATACTTTGCATAGCATTTAGAGTTTTAAATTTAGGATTAATTTGTTTTTCCTCAAGGTAGTTTTTCTTTGTTAGCTTTTAGTCCCTTTTTAATTTTTTTTTTTTTTTTTTTTTAGTTGGAGTCTCACTCTGTCACCCAGACTGGAGTGCAGTGGCCGCTCCTGGCCACTGCAGCCTCGACCTGCTGGGCTCCGGCGATCCTTCCGCCTCAGCCTTCCAAGTAGCTAGAACTACAGGTGCGCTACCGCACCCGCCTAATTTTTTTATTTTTTTATTTTTATAGAGATGAGGTCTCACCAAGTTGCCCAGGCGGGTCTTGAACTGGCAGGCTCAGGCAATCCACTCACCTCGGCCTCCCAAAGTGCTGGGATTACAGCCTGAGCCACCAAGCCCGGCCAGTCCTTTTTTTAAAAAAAAAATAAAAGCATCCTTACTTGCAGGTGTATGTGTAAATGAATATATTTCAGTTGAATTGCAATTCTTTTTGCGTTTTATTTTCAATTTATGCTGAATAATGCATAGAGAAAAAAGAAGGAATATGTTTGAAAGTAAACATGATCTGTCAAGTTTCCCTAAGTTCTATTTTACCTAACTTCATTTATTTATTTTCAGGTAACTGTGGAAAATTTTTTACGGGTATTGACAGGGAGGATTCCACCTAGTACTCCACGGTCAAAACGTCTTCTTTCTGATGATAGAAGCAATATTCTCATTTATATGACAGGTAATTTCATAATTTAGAGATTTCATAGAATATTTTGAACCTCTTCAGGAAAAATGCACATGGAAAGAAATTTAAGCACATTAAATAATTTTTGGTTAAAATAGTTTGTCATGTAATTATATTTTTGTACAACGTAGGACTACTTGAAATGATATTTTAAAAATAGCATAACATTTTGTGTGTTCCTTTGTTCCTTGTTTTTGTCTTTATATTTTTTGCTATTGCCCTGATAAAGGTGGTCACCTTTTACTTAGCTTCTTGTTATAGCATTCTTCAGTTTTTTTCTCCTGTTAATCATTCTTCTAAAGTGTTGAATAGAAATTGCAAATCTCTCTTTCTTCTGCTTACAACTTTGTAATGGTTTCCCATTGATTGAGTCTCAGGTTTTGGTGTGTAAGAGGATGACCTGAGTGTAGATACTTTAACCTTATTCTAAGATTCTTACCCAGTTTTGGTCTGAGATGGTTCATGAAACTGCATGTGGACGCACTTCCCAGACATGTGTCGTAGGAGTCTTGATGACACTTGGAGAGATTTTGGAGACAAAGTGTTGCATGAAATAATAGAGTTATAATATGTATTATATGTAATACTGTAAAATATATGTTATGGTTCACTTGTATTAATTTCATTCTTAATTCTTACACTTTTCCTAATTCCCGTCTATGCCTGACTGTCCCACCTTCCCAGTGCATGATGAGGCTCTTCTTTGCTTATGATGTCCTCTCAGTCACCCTTGCCCACCTGATTGCTCCTTATCTTTTTTGTGTTACCTCAGGAGTCATCTTCCTTCAGTGATTGCCTTTCTGTGTCTAGGGTGACCTATGTCTTTAATTGTGCCATTGTAGTTTACACCTGTGCTCCCAGTTTCGTTATTATTATTATTATTTGATCTGGATTTCACTCTGTCACCCAGTCTGGAGTGCAGTGACACGATCACCACTTACTGCAGCCTCAAACACCTGTGTTGAGGCGATCCTTCTGCCTCAGCCTCCCAAGTACCTGGGACTACAGGTGCATGCCACTATGCCTGGCTAATATTTTGATTTTTTTTGTGGCAATAGGTCTCGCTGTGTTGCCCAGGCTGGTCTCAAACTCCTGGACTCAAGCAGTTCTCCTGCCTTGGCCTCTTAAAGTGCTGGGATTGCAGGCATGAGCTACTCTACCCGGCCGCCAATTTAATTATGAACAGCTCCTCCTTTCTTCCTCAGCAGTGTACTGGTATGAATAATGTATCTCATGAATTGCCCCATTCAAAGATAGCTCTCCCCCTGGCTGGTTGGGCTCTCCTCCTTGCATGCCCATATTAATTCTTAGTTTCTTTCATAGCATCTAGCTTGTTGTTATTTTCTTGTTTGAGTATCTGTTACTTCACTGTATTTTGAATTCCAAGATGTCATTAGTACATATTTTTCATCTTTTTGTCACCAGTGCTTGGCTTGTAGTAGTATTCAGTAAATATAAATATTGATCAAAAGGTGTTCAGTACATTTTCCAGAGGGTATTCTGTTCAACCTATGATAAAACAGGTGCAGGATGGTTCTTAGGTGTCACATAGCAGGATAGTTAATGGCCCTACTCAGTGGCTTTTCTTCATCATGTTGCATTTACTTAACACTTTCAAAACTCAAGTTATAAACTTTATAAATTAACTTAATAGAGTTAATGAAGTCAGGAAAATTTTCATTTAACTTTATCTAAAAGTTACAGGAAATTTTCAAGCATTAGTGACAAATAAGAGAGGTTTTGTAGCTTAGCTTTATTGGATGTACTAAGATAAAGGAGTTTCTAAAAGTTTTTTTTCTGATTCTGTGGGAACTCTTTAGGATAACTCCTGGCATGGAACAAATTCCACTAGTTTGAGGTAGGATTTGATAAACTACAGCCCATGAACTAACTGGCTGCTATTTTTTGGAAGTAAAGTTTTTTTGGAACACAGTTGCACCCATTTGTTTATACAGTGTCTGTGGCTGCTATCAAACTACAATGGCAGAGATCAGCGTTTGGGACAGAGACCCTGTTGCTCCCAAGCCTAAAATACCTAGTACCTAATTGTTTACAGAAGAAGGTTGCCAACATCTGTAAGAGAATAAAAGGGTTGATAATTATGTTAATAAAAATGATAACAGCTAATATTTATTGAGGCTTACTATGCATCAGGCAATATTCTAAATCATGGTGTGTTTCAACTGATTGCATCCTCACAGCACCCCAGTGACTGAGGTGCTGATATTCAGGATGTGTGGGCTGTGTGATGCACACAAGCATCGGGGCCAGGGGGTTATGTGGGAACTGAAGCATAGTCTATGTCTACACTTGCCAAGCTGCGTGCCCATCCAGCCACCCAATCCAGAGTTTGGCTACTGGGAGGGAGGAGTGCATATTAACCACGTGTGAGCGCACGTGCAGATACTTGGGGGTTGGAGGGGATGGCACTAAAATAGACAACTTTTTTCTGCTTTGATGCCCAGTAGACGGTACCTCGGATAAATCTGTACAAGGAAACTGTAAGTCAGGTAGTGATGGTCTTGCTGATACGTTTTTCACTCTACTACTGAGGAAACTGAAGCATAGAATGATTATATTATTTGCCTAAAATAACACAGTAAGTGGCATAGCTAGCATTTGAATCCAGGCGGGCTCTAACTTGCATACAAATATCACAGTCTTCTGGTCTACTCTCATGGTAGTAAGCACATCAGTTTTTAGGTGAGAACAGCACTTCCTGTTAGTGACAGCATTCAGAGTATACATTGTGAACAGTATGCACACTCCATGGGACTTGCTAGTGTTTTCAACTTCTTTCTCGCTGAAATGTGTACCTGGTATTTGAACAAATCTTATGAATGGACACTTATTTCTGTTATTATAATGAAGCTCATTGGAGAGTATAAATGTGAGTTTCTGGAATCGAATGAGAGAAACACTCCTAAAGATATATCTATTAATTTATACAGTTTATCATTTTCCCTTTTTAATTGATATAATAGAAAATAAATTTGTTTTCACAGTATGTAAAGTATAAAATAACACATAATATTACATGTTGCAATGAATGAAGTAAATGTATATATTTAGATGTGTGCAGTTTGCATTTTTAAAAATATATTGATCATTTTGACTCTTCCTACAAGGACACGGTGGAAATGGTTTCTTGAAATTTCAAGATTCTGAAGAAATTACCAACATAGAACTTGCAGATGCTTTTGAACAAATGTGGCAGAAAAGACGGTAATTACCAAATGACTTCTCTTCATAAGATATATTAATATCTAATTTTTCCATGGTTAGTAGATTTGCAGTTTTATTTTATACGATTTTAACTTGTTAAATTATTTCTTCCGCTCTTTTAAATTTACATTTGTTATTTCCACTGAACTGATTTTTTTTTTTTTTTAAATTAAACTCACGGTTATTACGAAACATGAAAAAAGTTAACCTTTTAAGATCCCATCTCTTGCTATTTAGCATCCCTTTTGGAGGAAATAAGAGTCCCTCCAACCAAGTTCCATATTTATAGAGATTACAAACATCTGGTTTTCAGCTTATACCTATTCTTACTTTTCTAACTCATTCTCTGATCCCCAGTGTGATAGCAATATATTATTTATTCTTTAAAAAAATCGCTGAAGTTATGATTAGTATAAAACCTGTAATTTAACTCACATTAATGGTGCTATATTGTTAGTAATTCTTGGTAAGTAAGCATCCCTTAATAGGAAGTTGTCATATCTATATCTAGATAGATAGATAAGTGAATTTAAAGTAGCAGTACTGTTTTTAACTTGAAGACCTTTGATAAACATGAGCTACCTTCTATACATATAGCACAAAGGAGAATGTGATGCTTACTCTGTATTCAAAGTATTGAATAAAATTTGCTGGAAAAGAGAAATATGTACACAGCTATGCCACATATATGAATATGTACACAGCTATGCTGCATGTACATATTTATAATAACTATTATAAATGCTGAAATGTAAGCATAAGCAGAATATGTAGAAGTGCTAGGGGAAATCTCTTACTAGGTTCTGGTTGTGTCTTATAACTTACACCTACTGAAAGGATGCTGCGTACTACACACCAGGTATTGCTCATATTATCTCATTTAATTGTTATGACAACTCTCGAGGTAGATACTATTATTCCCATTTTTACAAATGAGAGGACTCCATGGGTAGATAGTAACTTGCTGGACTTGACACAGCTGGCAGTGCCAGAGCTAGGATTCGTGCCCCAGTGGTCTAGTCCCAGAGTTGCTCTCTCCCAGTTTCCTGCTCTGCCTCTCATGACCGTGGATGCTTCTGATCTTTAGGGGCCTCGAAGATTTTGCCTTGGAATCGATGTGTCATATTAGTTGTGCCTCCTGCCACCTTCTTGAATTTTGTGGTTCAGGATTTTAAGCTGTCTTTCATATGTGCAGCGTTAACTGTTTACCAAACCCAGTGTCTGAGCTATATAAAAACTCCCCGGAAAACATATCTCCTCCCCACTATCAGCTTCACCAGAAAGTCTATACAGATTGTGCAGTGGACATCTGATAGTTTGATTCTTTCATTAAAACAGAAGCCTTTTGCAGCCTCCCTCTCACTTACAGGACAAGATCTAGACCTCATACTGGTACTTGACAAATGCACCTACTCTACTTTTTTCCTTCCATTTTCCAAGTTTACTCTAGAGCCTAGCTGCACAGAACGATTTCCAAGCACGCACTTCTTTACATTCTGTACTTTTTCCTCTGCTGGAATGTTCTGTTCCCTTCTCTATTAATTACACTCCTCCTTCATTGCCCGTTACCTTTCTCTGAGCTGCTTTTCTTTGCAGTCCCTCTGTCTTCCTTTCTTGGTCCTCTGAGGACACTTTGACCTCGTTAGACTCCAGGCTGTTTGAGGGTAGGGATCGCCATATCTCCAGCGTAGTATCAGGCACATTGTAGACACCTCATGTAGATTTGTAACACTTATCACCTTTGTCTTCTGGTTTGATAAACTCTTTGAGTGCAGAGACTAAGTCATACATATTTTGTCTGAAGCGAGGTCAGTTTAAGGACAGCATGTGTTCCACATTAGTGCTTGTTAAGTGGAATATCCATGTGGTTCTGAGTCCTTTGGCATAGACAAGGGTGGGAAGAGAGTTGGGACTCCACAACCACTGATCCGTGCTGGGTAGTTTCCTTGGATAGATTTCTACCTTCAGCTTGTCTAATGTCAGATTTCTATAGGGAATTCTACCAAAAACTCCCACATTTTTGGTTAATAAGATGACTGAGTTATGACTTAAACATCTTACGTTATGGAGGTACTATAGAAATAGTAGTGTATGATTGACAGTGTGATTCTTATCAGAGATGTTATCACTCTCCTTTCAGCTATAACGAGCTGCTGTTTATTATTGATACTTGCCAAGGAGCATCCATGTATGAGCGGTTTTATTCTCCTAACATAATGGCTCTAGCTAGCAGCCAAGTGGGAGAAGACTCTCTCTCGGTAGGTACATTCACCCCATTGGTAAGCTGTCTTTGGAATGTGTAGCTGTTTCTGAAATCTGTGTATGCTTTATGAGTGGGCCTGTTATTTTTAATTCTTAGACTTTTAGCACATCAGAAGGAAATTTTGGTTACATTTTAAACATTTTGTGACAAGGAGCCTATTAGGTGAATAGTTTCTTCTTCTTTTCACAGCATCAGCCTGATCCAGCAATTGGAGTCCATCTGATGGATAGATACACATTTTATGTCTTGGAGTTTTTGGAAGAAATTAACCCAGATAGCCAAACTAATATGAATGACCTTGTGAGTACTCACTGGATTTGATCATGACACGAAGGTGTGCTGATCTTGATGTGATGAATTGTCTGCTATTCCCTGAACTCCTGGAGGTCCTGTTTCCCTGTTGAAGTGGTGTTTTAATAGGCTTGGAATCTGCCTTTGTGTTAGCGTCTCCCATACCGCAGAGGCCTAAAGCTCAGGCCTGATCCACTTGCTGTTCCTCAGGTATTTGACTGTCTTCCTTCACTTGTTATTCTCTTTTCTTTACCAGAAATGCGCTTTTAAATTCACCTTTTGAAAGTCCACCTAGTCTTCAAGGGTGAACTCGATTGGATGCGTCTTCTCCAGGAAGTCTCCCTGATTCTCCTTGTTGCAGTGTCTTACCTTGTCAGAGCCTCCACAGACCTCTGTTTGTCTGTTGTAACACTTACCACGGTTTGTCTTCTATTGACCTTACTAATGGAGTGTCAGACTTTCTCACTTGATGAGAAGCTCCTGGAAGAGAGGGCCCTTTCCTCGCATGTTTTTGTGTGCCCTGCAACTGTAGTATGTAGTCTTTTGGCATGGCTTGTTGAGTTTAGTTCACTTTTTCCCCTGGGTTTTCTGTGCTGAGTGAGTGTGCATCTCTTTAATTCGACTTTGAAGTTGCTATTGAATGTAGGCATGATACAAAGCTTGGAACAACAGTTATTGACTAGTTGTTACTGTGTGTCAGTGACTTTCATTCTCTTTGCTCTTAATCTGTACCTCATTTATTCATGCACAAACATGCCTTGGGTGTTGGCTGTGGGCCAGTCACTGGCTGTCCCGAAGGAGAGAGGCCCACACCGTTCCCTCCACATGCCGCTCAGGAGCGAGGGGCAGGCTAAGCAGAGAGGGCTCGTGCCTCGCGCACTCCAGCCCAGCAGCTTGGCGTTGATTGCTTTCCTTAGGTGGAGATCTCGGAGGCCAGGTTCCGTTTATTGAAGGGATTCTACTGCGCAGTTCTGGAAAATACCACTGTAACCTGTCGCATTTGATAGAACTACTTACTAACTTCATTTTGAAGATTATATGTTATGATTATATTTTGATATGAATTTGAATATTAAAGCAAAATGTGTGATTATGCTACTTAACTGTAAGAAAATTATAGTTACCTAAATTCCAGTTACCTTAATTTAAAGCTTATTCTTATTTTCAGATTATACAGTATATATTTTATGTAATACATGACATGCTGTCTCAAAAGTTTAAGCTGTATGCACCTCACACTTTAAATGTCTCATAGGTTAAAAAAATACTTATATTAAAATTGTCCAGGAAAGACTGAAGAAACTAATTTTTAGAAATTGCTTACAGCTGCTATTTATTTATTTTCTGAGTTGGGGGTCTCACTGGCTTGCTCAGGCCGAAGTGCAGCGACACAGTCCGGCTCGCCGCAGCCTGAGCCTCCTATACTCAGCGATCCTTCTGCCTCAGCCTCCTGTGTAGCTGGAACTCCAGGCACGTGCCACCAAGCCTGGTTAAGTTTTTGATTTTTTTGGTAGCCATGAGGTCTCATATGTTGTCCAGGCTGGTCTCAAACTTCCGGACTCCAGTGATTGTCATATCTCAGCCTCCCAAAGTGCTGGGGCTACAGGTGTGAGCCAGCGTGCCCGGCCTTGCTATTTGTTTTTAATAAACATTCCTTACTAATATTTCATCTTGCCCTGCCACCTCTGTTTTTAAAATTTAATGATGGCAGTTTTAATCTTATTCAGTAAGAATGATCCCTTTTCTTGCAGTTGACTAGTCTAGTGATTCAACCTATCGCTGGATCAGTTGTGTCATAATACCTCTTTTCTTTTGGATTACGTGCACATACTAGAACTTGCTGAGTAACAACCACGTTCATGGCACTGTATTAGGCGCTTCAGGAGCAAGGCAATTAGAAGACTTGGTGCTGAGGCCCCTAAACATTTAGAGCATCCTTGGTAATAGGAGAAGAGCACATTGATACAGGTATCACATGCTCTATGATGTATCTGGATCCGCTAGGTAATGTTTTTCCTCTGTAAACGTAACTTTTGCCATATACCTTTATTATACTTTTAGGGTTACACTGTAATTCTCTATGTTTGTGGTGATTCCTCAAGGCTTTGAGCTTCTTAAATAAGAGGAGTAAAGGCTACGCTTTATGCATCTTAGTATTCACAGAAGTCAATGTTAATATCTGGTGTATTTGTAGATGCTCATTAAATATTTACTGAATGAATGAAAGGACATGACAACAGTTCACATTTGTGTGATTCTTTTAAATATAGCACGATTAGAGATGAAAGTTGTTCTTGGAAGAGGTAGGTGTGCAGGTTTACAGGAAGAGGGGTATAGTGTACCCTAGGAAATGGATGACCTACAGACATGCAGAAGCTGGAATCTTGGAGGAGCCAAATGGTTGATAATGGCGTGACTCGAGTGTGGACGTTCTCTGAGTGAAGGGGATTACAGAAAATCAAACTGGGTGATGTGGGACCGGGTCACTGTGTCACTTGAGCTAAGAGAATCAGATTGGTGTGACAAACATTCTCAAAGAAAGAAATGGCCTCATAATGAGGGGAAGTATGTTTATTTTAGCATCAAAGAAGATATTACTGTTTGGTGTTTCCCAAGCTCGTTTGACGACACTTCTTTTTTTGTTTTGGGGCAGGCACGGTTTTGCTGTCTCAGTCAGCCTGGAGTACATACAGTGTGCGATCATAGCTCACCACAGTCTTAAAAGTCCTGGGCTCAAGCGAGCCTCCTGCCTCTGCGTCCTGAGTAGCTAGGCCTACAGGCATGTGCCACCACGCTCAGCTAATTCTTAAATTTTTTTGTGGAGATGGAGTTTTGCTGTGTTGCTGAGGCTGGTCACCGTCTCCTGGCCTCAAGGGGTCCATGCTCCTTGGCATCCCAAAGCATGAGGATTACAGATGCCAGCCGCTATGCCTGGCCTGACTACAGAGTTGCTTTCTTCAGCTGGTACCTAATAAAGCCCAAGTTGCTCTTGTAGGAATTCCTGAGGGACCTTCTGCATACCTGGAACTTCAATTTTATCTCTGCTTATTGTATTTTATCCTTTACTTTGTTTCTTCAGCCTGCCATCTGTTGTGCCGTTCCCAGGTGGCATTTTACATCTTGATATCTTTGTGTTTCCTTGTGCTGCTTTCCTTCTTGGGGTAGGCAAGGATGGGTTGCCAGTGGTCGATTTTAGATAAACGACTTCGTCTCCGTGAGCCTTCGTTTTACGTGGGGATGGAACTTGTATGTACCCCAGAGTGAGTTAGCAGACTTCCAGAGAACACCTGCAGATCCCTCAGCCCAGGGTTTGGGACGCTGGTCATCCTAAGTTGTACCTGCTCTCTGCCCTCCCCACCTCGCTGCCTTCAGACTGGCGATGACCAGTGAAGACAGTCTTGTCTCCACAGATGGCCAGGTGCTGTGAGCCTGGGCCCTTACTGGCATGTCTAGAACAGCTTTCGTTGTATATACTGTGCTTCAGCCAAACTAAGTTGTTTATTTTACACGTTTCTCCAACTGTGCCTTTATTAGACATGTTCTTATTTCTCATGTGTTCATATGTAAATCCTCCTTTTATTTCAAAAAAATAGTTTAAATTCCATTCTCTCTTTTGTCCCATCCTCAAACCATAAGAGGTTTATTCTTTTCTGAGGTGGAACCTGTCATCTTTTTTTTTTTTTTTTTTTTAACATTGTTATGCTTATTCATCTCTAGCTAGACTTAAATCCTTGAAGAGCGAATCATGTCTTGCCAATCTCTGCATCCTCTGTGGAAGGTAGCAATGTGAATTGTATATAATGGACATTTTGTACACTTTGCTGAGGGACTGAGTATGTGTCCATCCATGACAATTCACTGATGTGGAATATCAGGAATAAGATTAACACAAATTATTGCATCTGTTTTGTGGTGAACTTGTGGTTTTCATACTGTATTCTTTGGAGCAATACAGTGTCTGTGGAGGGGGCTTGGGTTTATTTTTGACATGGATAAGTTAAGGAAGTTATTTGGTTTATAAAATGATACATGGAATTACAGCAGAGAGCGAGGGGGAGTGTAGTAGAGAGGCTGTGCTTCAACTTCCTGTGATCCATTGTAGTGTTTTTTTTTAATGTATTGGGCTATCATGTAATATCTTACTTGAATTTGAAGTTTGAATCAAGAGTCATGATTACACAATGTTTGAAAACCATTCTGGTAGAGCACCCCACAGAGATGGATATAGATGAAGAAAAAAGCAATTCTGTTGTCATAGTGTTGAGTGTTCGTTTTCAGTGGGTTTAAGGGTTTAGAATATATTTGTAGCACGTAATTTAAAAAAGTGGATGTTTTTTGTCTCCATGGCCAGCTTCCTTTTTATCACTGTTCTAATGTCTGTATAATTTCCTTAGAATTCCGAGCATTACAGTAGGAATGAAACTTTATCCTTTGGAACTTGTGGCTTCTTTAGGTTGGGAGAACTTTAAAAATAGACTGTAGTTAGCGGTACTTTGTCATTGGATTGAATAAAAGGTGTATGTACATGTGTACTTGTTGGTATTTATTATTATTCTTTTATTTTTTCAGTTTCAGGTGTGTCCCAAGAGCCTGTGTGTGTCTACTCCTGGACATCGCACTGATCTGTTTCAGAGGGATCCAAAAAATGTCCTGATAACTGATTTCTTTGGAAGTGTTCGGAAAGTGGAAATTACAACAGAGACTATTAGTTTGCAACGGGATTCAGGAATCATGGAAAGCAGGTATTTATCTTAAACTATTATCTGAATAGAATATTCTGGTTTCACAATTTGGAAATTTTCTGAAACATTGTTTAAGAGACAGAAGTTGGTGTTTGTAAGTAAAATTTTATATTTGTGCCTGATCTTCACTTTATGTATGATGTTTGCTTTTCATACTTACAGGCAAAAACTATAAATTTAATGAAAGCTAAGAGCATGATTAGGATTATGTTGGTACTCCAAGTACAATTTAGTAGTAGTTCAATTTGAGACTTCCAGAAAAGACTCCAAACCATCCCCGTAACTGGCGTCTGTAACTGGTGTCTCGGAGCCATAATTTTCTCTTGGGCCTCTTGGTAATTCATTAGATCAAGGAAAGAGAAATGAGCCAGATATTTCCTTGTTGGAGAGTGGATGTGTGTGAGTGACCAGGCCGTGAGCATGTGTGTGTGTGAGAGAGAGGTTGGGAGAAATGGGTTCACTATGGGTGTGTGAATTTTAGAAATGCTTATCACTGTTTTAGTCTTTAATAATTTAGAGGAGCCGGGCTCGGTGGCTCAGCCTGTAATCCCGTGCCTTTTGGGGGGCTGAGGTGAGTGGATTGCCTGAGCCCGCGGGTTCGAGACCCGCCTGGGCAGCGAGACTTCATCTCTACAATAAATAAAAAAAAAATCAGCCGGGCGTGGTAGCGCATGCCTGTAATTCTGGCTACTCGGAAGGCTGAGGCAGAAGGATCGCCGGATCCCAGCAGGTCGAGGCTGTGGTGACCGGGAGCGGCCACTGCACTCCGGTCTGGGCGATAGAGTGGGACTCCAACTCAAAAAAAAAAAAAAAAAAAATTTTAAAGGTAAACTAAATATAATAATGGTTCAGTCACTTACTTTCTTGCATAACTATTTTTGCTAGCCACCAGAATGTGTTATTTGTGATTGTCTGTTTGAAATTCATACTCCAGGGAACTTTTCTGATGACCAAATGGCAACATATGAATTTTTAACAACTTTGAAAATATCTAAGATTTGTAATTGGGCTTATGAATATTGTAGGAGTAAATTTAAAAACTACCACAAAATACCTTTTTTTGTTCTAGTTATATTAGTTTTCTTTTTTATTGATATACAATAATTGTATATATTTTTGGTGTACATGTGATATTTTAATACATGTATACAGTGTTTAATCAGGGCAACTGGCATCTCTGTCAACTCAAACACTTAATCTTTTCTCTGTGATGGTGCCATTACCGTTCTTCTTTTCTAGCTACTTTGAAATATACAGTAGATTATTGTTAACTGTGATTTCCCTACTGGACTGTCAACTGCTGGACTTGCTCGTTCTCTCCAGCTGTGTTTTTGTGCCCCTTAACCACCCTCTCGTCCTTAACTCCGCCCCATTTTGTTCTCTGCCTCTGAAACTGCCATTCTACTCTCTGTCTCTTGAGATCCATTTATTCTAGCTCCCACATTATGGATGAGAGCCTACAATATCTGTCCTTCTGTGTGGCTTATTTCACTTAACATAATCATGGTCCAGTTCCATTCATGTTGCTGCAAATAGTAGGATTTGATTCTTTTTTATGGCTGAATAATATTCCACTGTGTATATATACCACCTTTTCTTTATCCATTCCTCCACTGACGGTCACTTAGGTTGATTCTATCTCTTTGCTACGATAAACACAAAAGTGCAGAGATCTCTTTGATGTATTGATTTTCTTTCTTTTGGATATATGCCCAGCAGATCATATGGTAGATTTGTTTTTAGTTTTTTTAGGGAACCTCCATACTGTTTTTCTTTTTGACTCTACTAGTTTACATTCCTGCCAGTAGTATATGAGAGTTCCCCTGTCTCTGTATCCTTGCCAGCATTTGTTTTTTTTGTATTTTTAACAATAGCCATCCTACTGGGTGAGATGATATTTCATAAAGTCTTTGATTTGCATTTCCCTGGTGATTAGTGATGTTGAGCATTTTTTCATACTCCATTGTCTTATTTTGCGAAATGTCTATTTAGTTCATTTTCTCTTTTTTGTTTGAATTATTTGCGTTTTTTCTGTTGAATTGTTGGAGAGTCTTATATATTTTGATTATGAATCATTTGTCAAATGGATAGTTTGCTAACATTTTCTATCTTTGTATAGGTTGTTTCTTCACTTCGTTGATTGTTTCCTTTGCTATGCAGTAACTTTTTGGCTTGATTGTAATCTCATTTATCTATTTTTACTCTCGTTGCCTGTAATTTTAAGGTCTTACTCCCAAAAATCTCTGCCTAGACCAATGTTCTGGAGTTTTTTCCCAATGTTTTTTCCCAAAGTTTCATAGTTTTACATTTAAGTCTTTAATCCACTTTGAGTTGATTTTTGTATACAGTGAAAGATAGGGAACTAGTGTTACTCTATATATGGATGTTCTATTTTCCCAGCACCATTATTAAACAGACTTTCCCCAACATATATTCTTGGCTCCTTTATTCAAAGTGAGTTGGCTGTACATGTGTGGATTTATTTCTGAAATTTCTATCTGTTACATTAGTCTGTGCATCTGTTTTTATGCCAGTATCATGTTGTTTCGATTATTGTAGCTTTGTAATATAATTTGGAATCAGGTAGTGTGAAGCTTTCAGCATTGTTCTTTTTGCTCAGGATTCCTGGAGCTATTCCAAGTCTTTTGTGGTTCCATACAAGTTTTGGGGTTGTTTTTTCTATTTTTGTGAAAAATGCATTGGAATTCTGATAGAGATTGCATTGAATTTGTAGGTCACTTTGGAGAGTATGAACATTGTTAAAATGTTAATGTCTCTTTAACGTCTTTTATCAGTGATTTAAGTTTTTCTTGTAAAGATGTTTCACTTCTTTGGTAAGATTTATTTCTAGGTATTTTATTTTTATATAGGTATGTAAATAGAATTGTTTTCTTGATTTATTTTTTAGATTGATTGCTGTTCGTGTATAGAAACGCTACTGGGTTTTGCATGTTATTTTTCTACCCTACAACTTTACTGAAGTCATTTAACAATACTAAGAATTTTTTTGTGGCATCTTTAGGTTTTTCTAAATGCATGATCATGTAGTCTGCAAATAAGGATACTTCTTCCAGTTTGGATATTCTTTCTTTCTCTTGCCTAATTATTCTGGCTGGGACTTTTATTACTATAGTGAATAGAGGTGCTGAAAGTGAATATTTTTGTCTTGTTCAAGATTTTAGTGGAAAGACTTTTAATTTTTCCCCAATTTTTCCCCCAAGTTGTAAGTTTGTTATGTATCGACTTTATTGTGTTGAGCTGTGTTTCTTTTAACCCAGTGTGTTAAGTTTTTTCATGAAGGGATGTTGAATTTTATTGAATACTTTTTCAGCATCTATTGAAATGATCATATGGTTTTTGTCCTTGATTCTGTTGATGTGATGTGTCATATTTACTGATTTGTGTATACTGAACCATCCTTGCAGCTTTTGGATGAATACCACCTGATCATGGTGAATGAGTTAAAATTTGCTCTTGAATTCAGTTTGCTAGTCTTTTGTGGATTTCTACATCTGTATTCATCAGAGATGTCGGCCTGTAGTTTTCTTTTTTTGTTGTGTTCTTGTCTGGTTTTGATTTTAGAATAATGCTGGTTTTGTAGCATGATTTTGGAAGTATTCCCCCCTCTTTAGTTTTTTGAAATAGTTTGAGTAGAATTGGTATTATTTCTTCTTCAAATGTTTGGTAGAATTCAACAGTGACTTCATTAGGCTTTTCTTTGATGGGAGATTTTTATTATTGTCTTGATCTTGTAATTCATTATTAGTGTGTTCAGGTTTTCTGTTTCCTACTAGTTCAATCTTTTTTTTTTTTTTTTTTGAGTTGGGGTC